AATGCTTTTAGCTTTATCTCATATTTACATTGAGTGCATAATATCAGAGGGGCATCCATTTGGAAATAAGTAGATCAAGGGACTTGGGTTTCCAATTTCTGTAGATGAGTGATGCAGGTGTATCCTCCTCCTCCTCCTCCTCCTCCTTCTCTTCCTCTTCTCAGGGCTGCTCATGCTTCTGGATATCCTTTCTCTGCTCTTCTGTTCCCAGTGACTTGTGTGCTTCATGGTTGCGAGACATTAAGCCAACATCCCTTCATTTCCCCCCTATGCTCTGCCTACTTCTTTCCAGAGACTCTTTAAAAGTGTCTGTGAGACCAAAGAACTTTTGATCTCTTAATTTGTAGCATGGCAATTCAGTCAGCTTCTTGAATGAGTCTTATGACAAAGTGCTCCCAAAGAGAAACTAAAGGTTCTGTGATAGTTCAATGAGAAATGGACAAGAATTTTATAAGGAAGGAGATGTTTTTAGCAATTTTGCTAAAGGATTAGTTAATCCTTCACTTAAAGAGGGGCTAAAGTCTTGGCTAGGGTTTGTGTTGCGTCCTGTCCAGGGAAGCAGAACCTGAAGACATTTTCAAAATTATTTATTTATACTTAATTTTGGCATAATTACAAACTTATACCAAAGTTGCAAGTAGAAGGAAAAGAGCTTTATTTTCCTGGCTTTTTAAGTGTAAATTGCCACTCTGATACCTGCTACCTTTGAATCCTCATTTGTATTTCCTATAAATCCAGACAGTTTTCTTTATAACCACAATACAACCAATGCAATCAGAAAATGAACATTGCTACTTGTTGCAATATAATCTTTATGCCCCTAATCAAATTTTGCTAGTGATTCCATTAATATGCTTCACAGAAAATTGTCCAGTTCAGGATCAGGAATTACTCTTAGTTGTCATGGCTCTTTGGCTGTTTTGAACATGAAAATAATAAGAGCAGTTAGTTTTGCATTCTTAAAAATAAAGAAAACCAAAGGGCTGTGGAAGAGAAGGAACTATTGACACAAGTACAGTGGAGGCACTTCCTACCAAGGTGGTGTGAGACTAACACTGCAGGTCTATGACAGGTGTAGTGGGAAGAGGTGAGGAAGGGACCAGTTCTGGACCCATCTGTAGGATCTGGTCTAACCACGGGGACTCAGATAATCCCAATCAGGTTCCCGTGCAGCCTTAGGAGTGGAGGAATTCTTAGCCAGGGGGCTAGCTCCTTTTCTCTCTTTACTCTCTTGCAGTTTGAGGGTTTGGGGTGACTGGGTGAGTAATTGCAGTTGCAGAGGTATGACAGTGACTTTGCTGCTGTGCTTGGTCTCATGGCTTTGATTTTTGCATCCTCATCATCGCCTTCCTCTCTACACTGGTTGTGGTGAGTGAGAAGGACTCTTGCAGAATGGTGTCTGTAACCCCAAATGTACTATGTCTCATTGGGCTGTCTTGTTCTCCTGCACCCTGCCATCAGCACCCCTGACACTGCTTCTTGCATAGGAGGGTTGGGGCACTGTGGTCCACACCCACGGCGTCTCTATATGGAGTAAGGTGGGAACCTTCACCTGTGGTAGGCTAAGTGTGGCTGGGCCTGGCCTGGGGGACACGCTCTGACCTCTCCTTTCCACACTGTCACTGTGCACGGGGGACCCCTAGGATGTAGACAGTGTCCATAAGGGTTAGGGTTTGATGCAAAGTTACTGCCTGCAGCTGGAACTGCACAGGGCCTGGAACATTGCTGCTTCACACCCTTTTCTCTTGCAAGTTTGAACTCCTGACTTTCCTCCTGACTTTCCATCTCCTACTCTGCCCAGGAACAGCTGGGTTATTCTTCTTTATGGCAGCCTGGTGCACAAAACATCTTTGGTGTCATTTCTATTGATGAAATCATCTCTGTTTCTTACACTGAGTACAAACCATCATTGCGCTGACCTTCTTGTCCCTGCTGGTAGGTACTATGGTGTGTGGTCACCAATGCCTTACCCCTACTGCACTGCTGTCTGTGGTGCCCAGCTTAATGGCACTGGCACTTCTGGGTCTGGGTCTCACCTGTCTTAGAGAGAGGGTGTGGTAGTGACCAGGCCTGCAGTGGTGGTGGGCTCCTCAGCGATCTATGGAGTCCATTCTGCACACCCACCACCCATCAAATGAGTTCCCTGTATAACTTTTGACTCCCCCAAACTGAACTAGCTACTGAGATCCTGCTGTTGACTGGAAGCCTCCCCAAAAATGCAAACAGTTGGTTAACATGTCTCATGTGTTACATATATTATATACAGTGGAAGCTACTCAAGAACCACTAGAGATCTCTTTTTATCATGATACACAAAGGCTCCTGTGCATTTTTCATCGATTGTCACAACCCAAGCTCACTCCCGCAGCAGCAGGAGGTGTAAAATTATTCCAGCAGTGCAGTATAAAGTACAACTAGTTTTATGTAGCTATGATTTAATACTGCATTTTTATACTTGTTTACATTTCTCTTCACTAGAAATGGTGCCATGTGAGGTCTACAAAGGTTTTGATACATTTAACTTTTTATAATAGATTTGTGTATATATTACAGTAGTAAATAATAGACTATGAGCTGCATATATTTTATACATTCATGACATACCTAATTTTTTTCTTAATTTTTTAAAACCAGATTTCTAGGTTATAAGGTTTGTGTGGGAGTTTTTTTCGAATCATTGCCTATCTCCTTCTTAACCCATCTCTAAGTGGACTTGTGCATTTAAAACTCCTGTTGTTCAAGACCCAACTGTGTTTTAATATACAGTAATGGCTGGGGTCATTCATAAAACTTGTATTGAATGCCTACAGTGTGTTGGACACTGAGCTAGATATGAGGGCTGCAATAATTAATGAGGTTTATAAGACACTAAATCTTTTTTTTTTTTTTGGCAGCACTGGGGCTTGAACTCAGGGCCTCATGCTTGCTAGGCAGGCACTCTACCACTTGAGCCACTCCAAATATGTCCATTTTATACTTGCTAACTACCTACTTCCACCTCCAAAGTTACCGAATTTTTATCTTGCAATATTCACAGCTTGAACCACACACAAGACGTTAGTAAACAGACAGTACAAAGATATGAGGTGATGGGGGAAATTTGACAGCACAGTGATGAGATGGGAAGAGGTGGATACTAGCATATGAAGGAGAATTGGAAACTGCAAGCCAGTGGTCTCTAAGGGTCATTAAAAAATAAAGAAATCCTATCTGAGGCTGCCAACCGCAGAACTAAGTTATTTAGAGTGGAAAAAGTTCGCAAACTCAGAATAGTCAACCCAAGGAATGAATATTTTGTGAATTTTATGGCTAATGTAGTTTGAGAACTACCAACACAAAATTGTGTACAATATTAATGAGTGAGAAGGGCAGGGAAGGGTTATAAAATCTGAGCTAAAAGGAAAGCTAGGGCTGTGAGAAGAGGACCAGTGAGAGTCTGTATGGCCTGGTTATTTGGGTGGGGAATGGAAGCAGGAAATTTGGAGGGTTCATAACCAAGGGACCCTGGCAGCCCTGTCTTCGACTGACTTTATCTCATCTTAGTTTTGCTTTGAAAATCTCATAGGAAGCTTCTCTCCATCTGTCCTTCCAACATCTGTTGACCTCTCTTTCCCAGTGACCCTCCCAAACTTTCACCATTCACTTTGTAAGTGCCAGCTACATTCCAAACACTGCGCTAGGCTCTGGCCACATACCCCCAGCTCCTTAACACCACCTTTATTTGTTTGCATGTACCTTGAAAATCAGGGCTCAATGTAATATCTGCAAACTTATCCTCACCAGTTTCTTTCCTTACCTCTTTCTTTCCAGTCTTCTTCAAGGTAACCTCATGCAGGCTGTGCCTTGCAGCCATTTCTTTAATCTCAACTGCTTGACTTCCCTGCTTGACCTCATTCTTTTATCCTTTACGCTGTGTTTTCAACCATTCCCTTCAAACTTCACGAGGCCTTTGAAGGTCTCATTCATTCCAAAAGTCCTTTTTTTTGAGGAGGGGAGGCTTATATTCTTTAGCTTCCACCTTGTCTCTTTCTTTTTTCCCTCTTCATCCAAGTTCTCCAGGAATGACGTTCACTCATTTTCACCTCCTCTTTCCATCCACTCTCTCACCCACTAGGTTTTGGCTTGTACCTCTTCCCTTCCCCTGGAACATCCTCTAGGTCAAATTCAAACGCACTTCATCAGTTTGTGTTTTATTGGACTTCTTTGTCCCACTTGGTGTTATCACGCTCCTCTTAAAACATGCTTAAAGCATTTTTATTCCCCCATTTTCTTGGTCCCCCTGGAGCTTTTCTTGCTGTGCATTTTCAGATTCAGTTCTGGAATATACTTCTTCCACACAATCTCTAATGGTTGGAGTAACCATCTGTGTTTCCTGGCTCTTCTTACTCCACATGCTTTAAGGAGGACTATTGAATATCCAAGAATAGCATTTTCAAATTATAGGGTCAAGTTGTAAAAACTGATACCCAGGGTTACCTGATAACAATAACTTAAGGGACCATTTTTTCTTCAACATGTGTTCAACATACTGTTCGTCAGTTCATGTGACTCCCAAATGTGCCAGCTGTTTTGTGCTTTGTCTGTGTTTCCAAGACCCTTTGTGTGGCCTAGAATTGGAATGAGAATTGGTCTCTAAAGGTTCTGAATTAATCGTGAATTCTGAGAAAATGGGGAAGCAGCTACTTTTGTTTTGTCATTCTATGGGTAATATATTCTAGAGGAGGCATTCCATTTCTTAAGCAAGTTTGCCACAAACAATTTTCCCTCAAGGTTAATAGAATAGGCAAACACCTTTTGCTGCAACAGATGGCAAGAGGTAACGGAAGATTAGCGTACATTATGATTCATCATTTCAAAATGTCAGAATAGAGTGGATCTACATCCTGCCACCACCCCCACCCCCAGCCTCTTTACAGGTGCGTGCAGGGTCTACTTTCCTAATGCTAATGGATTCACTGGTTTTTTTTTTTTTTTTTTCCTCTCTATTTTTCCTTTCTCAGGCCAAATTCAGATAACCGACGGCAGAGTGGCCGGGAGAGATTGGCAGGTAGCAGTGACAAGGGAAGCTTGGCCATGGAGTCTGCTAAGGAGACTCGCTACTGTGCTGTGTGCAGTGACTATGCGTCAGGCTACCATTATGGAGTCTGGTCCTGTGAGGGATGCAAAGCCTTCTTCAAGAGAAGCATTCAAGGTAATAGTGTGTTGAAAACAACTTCTTCTATTTTGACCCTCAAAACAGAAGGGACTGAGGAAGGAAGACCTGGTCAGCCACGTGTATGAAACAGTAATAGCTAGCAGATCTACTGAAGTCCTTGGTAGAAGAACATGGAGAACTGAAAATTCTCAGATGCAGGGCAGCTGTGGCTGAATATTCTGCTTCCTCCTTTGGGCAAGAGCTACACAGTCTTGGGTGGCTCTACTGAAGGAGGAGTTCCACAGCTGAGAGTGTGGTCTCAGCCCTGACCGGCGATGGCTCCCCTAGGCAACTTTGCTATATGATGTGGTATGATTTTGTCTGCATAATTATCTCTCTACCTCGGCCTCATTCAGGTAAATATTCTGTTCTGATCTCTGCTCCAGACCAATTCTAATTCAGCCTGTTCTCTTCCTCTTTTCCATCTCTTTCTTGTCTCAATGGATGACATGACCTTTTGCTAACATGAGCCAACTCAATGTCTGGTGACTTGTAATAGGGGAGGTACCTTCTGTACCAGTATCTGTCAAGTATAGTACTCTGTCAAGTATCTAACTGCAACATTTCATTCTCCTGCCTGCCTCAATCCTGTGTGTGTGTGTGTGTGTAAATTACCAATACAATTTACTCTATATACCAGTTTACCAATCTCTGATACACTGCCAACTATCCTTTATTTCTACTCCAGGAATGTCTCTATTGTGGCATTGTATAGACAACCTCAGAAAACATTAACCATTCTTACTCCCTCAGAGATCTTTGTCTGACAGGACCAGAGGTCTGACCACAGTTTAGGCTTATTAAATTCACTTTTTATCTTAAGAGTGGGGTACTTTTCTCTGTTCTTATTCCTTTACCTTTCAGCTCATGTGAAACTTGGCATATAAATACCAGAAATACTTCTAGGGAATTGTAGAAGTCTAGATGACTTAAGGAACTTGTTGAACACCAGATTATGCTCGATTAATAGATGCCCACTGAAGAAATGATTCTGTGGAACTTTCCATCATGGCTGTACACTGCGCTGAAAGGAGATGAAAACTGGGGGATGGTAACTATTTCTCCTGCCATTGCCAGTGGAATTTTTTTTAAAAAGCTGTTCATATCGTAATAGAATAGCCTGTGAGGTCAATGTGGTCCATTTGAAAAGCATTTTCTTTGACACTTACTATTTTCAACATCTTTTAGAACTCTGCTGTAAGACTAACTTTTTTTTGTTGGCGTTTTTGTAAAAAGTTATGATACTCTCTGTAGTAAATTGTGTGTATGCCTATGTGTGTGTATCACATACACAGACTATTAATTTTACTGCTGATGCTATCTTAATTCAGAAAATTTGGTGTTACATTAGTGTCACCACTGAAACGGGTTTTGACACACATCTTAATTTTGGTTTGCTGATTATTTGATTTTATAAAATCTCATTATTTTCACTAAGCATTTAATCTGGTGGTGAAAAAGTATACGATGAGGGTATAAATTAGTGGATAGGTTCAATTATATTTGGACAAGTCATTTACCTGCCACTGAGTTCCCTCATCAGTAGAAAATGCTTTAGTATCAGGCCCAATTGCAATGGTTTCAGCCTTTGCAGGCCATTGGTTGTGCTCCAGCTACTCAGCCTGGGACTGCGGCTGAAAAAGAGCCTGAGGCAATATGGAAATAAGTGGGCGTGGCTACATGCCAAGTTTATTTAAAAATTTTTTTATTATAAATTTTTTATTAGGATATATTCATCTGGGGCGATTCATAATGACAATTCCTATTAGATTTATATTATACATAGTTACATTTCCCCCATCGTCTCTCCCCCTCAGACCCCTCCCAACCCCACTTAAAGCAATTGCAAGAGGTTTCTTAGTTCTGTTGCATACAGGTATATGAAATCCATCAACCATACACCCTCACCTTAATCTCCTTCCTTCACCCTCCCCTCCTCCCACTAATTCCCCCCCTCACTGAACCTATTTTTTAGTCCTGGTTTTCATTATTAATATTTAATTGACATTCATAGGTGTCTCAATGTATGCCGACTGTGAGTGAGCTGTACTTTGGCCTGTTCAACCCTCCCATTGCTCTCCCTCACCCCTTTACCTCCCACCCCCCCATTTTTCAACAGCTCTGAATACGCATCCTTATATCCTCTACCTTCACATCTTATGTTTTATGATACTGTTGATGCTCTATCAGTCTCTTTTCCTTTCCCTCTTTCCCTGAGTTCCATAGATTAGTTCCACTGTTACAGACGTGTTCTGCCAAAGTAACTTCACTAATAAAAATAGATCACTGACCAGAATTGGCCTGTACACCATAATTTATTTTGATCTTATTTAATCTAAATACTATTATTTACTGAGAGGAAATGGATCATTTTTAAATGTAGAGTTTTGATTCCTAGTTTACTGACAGTTTACTCTCCATCTAGATGTTCTGAGGGAAATTGAAAAATCCACAATCCCACAGAATTTAGAATTTATTTGGGAATTTTACTTGGGGAAGCAGAGGAACTTGGTATGTTGGTAGAGTTAAAGCGCCAGGGCAAAGAAAAGGAAAAGGAAAGAAGAATTAAGTGAAGAAAAATCTTGCCGGTTACAAATGTGAAGTTACTGAGACTGAAAGGAGCAGTAGCAATGTCGCTTAAACATGTTATTTTCAGTGATTTGTTCACCAGTAGGAGCATGCTACACAAGACCACTGAGTTTGGTATTATTCCTAAGTATTCAGGCATCAGAAAAAAAGAAAAATACACTTAGAAACATCAGTGAAGACAATGTAAGCTTATAAAAATATGGCACTATTTCAGGTTCAAGTATGTTTTTAAGTTCTGATTTCTTTCCTTTTGTTTTTTCTTTTTTGGCAGTACTGGGGTTTTGAACTCAGGGCCTAGTGCTTGCTAGGTAAGTTCTCTACCACTTGAGCCACACCCAGCCCTTTTTGCCGTAGCTATTTTTCAGATAGGGTCTTGCACTTCTTCCTAGGCTAGCCTTGGATCATAATTCTCCTACCTCAGCCTCCCATGTAGTTGTGATTATAGCTGTGAATCACAAACCTGGCTTGTTTTTGAAATAGGGTCTCACTAATTCACTAATTTTTTTTTCTTTCTTTCTTTTTTTTTTTTTTTGTTTTTTGCCTAAGCTGGCCACAAACTTCAGTCCTTCTATTTCTGCCTCCCAAATAGTTGGGATTATAGATGTGAGGCACTGTGCCTGGCTTTTGGTAGTTAAAATATATGTATCATTTACTTCCATCTTGTATACACAGATTAAATAGTAAGGTTCCATTAAAATTGTGCCATTTAAAAATGCAGCTTCTACCTTGTTTTAGAAACTTCTAATGCACCATGGTTTGGTTACATATGTGTTTCTATCTGTTTTTTTTGTTTGGATAGTACTGGGGTTTGAACTCAGGGCCTTCTGCTTTCCAAGCAGACATGATACCACTTGAACCACACCCTAATCCCCTTTAAAACTTCAGTTGTTTATGTATAGGGTCATATGCTTTTTGCCCAGGGCCAGCCTAGGACTATGCTCTCTCACCTACTCCTCTCATTTAGCTCAGAGTACAGGTGTGCACCACCATACTCAGCTTGTTTGTTGAGATTGGTCCTTGCTAACTTTTTGCCTCGTCCAGCCCTGAACCACAATCCTTCCAACCTCTGCCTCCTGAGTATCTGGGATTGCAGGCATGTGCCACCATGCCCTACCCCTATCTGTTTCTTAAATAGGATGCAGATTGAGTCCAAAGTTCTGGAAGAAGCCTTCAAACAAGACAGAGTTTCAGAGGGACCCATCGTTGTTAAGTTCATTAATGTGCTCACTTACTCATTGAATACTTCTACTGGGCAAAATTGTGCAAAACACAGAAGACAAAATGATAGGAAAGACCCTGCCCTTCTTTCATTAAGCTTATAAGGTACAGGTAGAGATGAATGAATAATCCGGCAATTAAATTAACTACACAGTAAGTAAGTGTCAAGATGGCGGTGAATGGGGTCTTATAGGAGACCAAACTGGTGATGGAGAGGTGTTAATAAGGCTCTCAGAGAAGGTTTGCTGATTAAAAGTAAGTGTGAAGAACAAGTCAAATGAACAAGGTGGAGAAGGCAGGAGTGTTCAGTCATCTAGATGAACACACAAGCAAAAACCAGGAGGTAAGACAGAGTGTGGGGAATTCTGAGAATAAAAATGGACAAGTCATTTCCTATTCCATGACACAATGGCATCTCTTGGCTATATATTTAATCTTAGACCTGTCAAAACAGAGTAATTGATTTCCTTTGTATTTTTATGGTATCTCCATCTATTTCCTGTGTGTATGGCTACACAAGGAAATGTGGGAGAGCAAGCGTAGGGTTTCTAGTCCTCTTTTCTCAACAGAGTCTTGATGACTTGCAGTTACAAAGTTTTGCTGAATTTCTGTAGCTCTTTGTAAATCACACTGACCCTCAAACCCATTTGAGGACAGTGAAGGGTCTGACACGTAGGTGGGAAGTTCTGAGGATGCTGAGGCTCTTCCTGCTTTTCTTGTTGCTTAAGAAGAGAGCTAGAAATGAGTATATATCAGATCATTCTCGTGCTCTAAGTGTTTCTGTTGAAGAGGTGAAGTGTTGGGCTTGAGGCCCACAAATTTCCATCCACTACATAGTGTACAAACTTGATCATTTAAGAAATCAATGTGTTGCATGCACTTTTTAAATAAAAAAAGCGAAGTCAAAGATCCTGTTTAAGTCAGAGAAATGAAACTGTATATTTATCAAGTTATTAATCATTGCAGGCATAGAATTATGCCTTTAGACAGAGACTCTGAGCTGAGTTCTGTGACCAATCTGGTTAGAGGCTCAGCAGCCAGGTATTACCTTGAAGTTTTATTCCAAGGCAAAAGTGAGCTCATCACTTCTCTTACTTTATTATTTCAGAAGGCCCTGAGGACAGTGGGGGCGCAAACCTATCTGTATATTACTAACTGTGGTGTCACTTCATATTCTATCAGGTGTATGC